CCCCAAAACCCCAAAACCCCAAAACCCCGACCTGTGACTTTGTAATTATTTTTTCAATTTAGAATTAATTATATAAATTTAAAATGTTTGGAAAGCTAGAATCGAATTGGTATTAAGGTCCAGTTAGTGATCAGCCATTTACCCCTCAGCATGATAGACAAGTAGGTTATTTATATAATTACTATAAAATAGGTTTTATGCATGGATGTCCAGGGTAATCAATTAGTAACAGGCTCTGCTGATCACGGCCTTAGGGTTTACAATATGTAAGTGAAATCATTGCATTTGAATAACTTGAAAATTTAGTTAATCAGGGAAATAAATGAGGTAACTATATGCAAAGTAATATGGTCATTCAGAGTGGGTGACTACGTGTGCTTTTCTCAGAGATGGACGTGTGCTAAGTGGAGGAATGGATAAACTTTTATGTCTTTGGGACGCAAGAGCAGTGAGATGTCAAAATTTGACAGGACATAATGGCTCAATCTCTAAAGTCAAAGTAGATTAATTCAACGTTGCAGTGACTGCAGCTTATGACTCTTCTCTTCTAGTCTGGAATTTAGACACCCTTGAGTGCCTATAAGGTTTATTCAATGGACATAAAGACTCAGTGATGGAATTTGAGTGGTAAAATTCTCTTGTAGTATCTGGAGGAAGAGATGGTTCTATGGCCTTGTGGGATATTAACACTGGATAAGTAATCCATCAACTCTAGGCACATAATGGACCTGTTTCTAAGATTCATCTATACAGTGATGGAGTCAATAAAAATCTTATTATTTCAGCAGGATTGAAGGATGGAATTCTGAATATCTTAGATATGAGATCTCACTAGCCTGTAAAGAAAGAAAGAGTGCATCAAGGAGCAATTAACATGCTTGAGACCAGTCTCAGTAGTTTTATTATAACTGGATCAGCTGATAAGACTGTAAAAAAATTTGATATCATTGGAGGATTCAAACCACTTGCAGTGATGAATACGACTGATGCAGTATTCTGTGGTAAAATTATTGAAAATATTGCCATCACTGGCTGCGGGGATGGTAATATACTGGCATTCGATTTGGATTAGAACAAATGCTTATATGGATATGGAGCAGACCCAATCGGGGCAGTACATTGCATGGCATTTACAGAGGATAGAAAGTCTCTTATCACTGGAGGTGATAGTGGGTAAGCTCTTAAGATTTAATTTAGTGGAAGAGCTTAATTGACCATGCTAGAGGTAATTGACATTTCAGATTTTGGCTG